TATAATATATTTAGATATCTGTCAAGCAGATTTATGCCAGGAAGAAATACAGCTTGGTCAGCAAGAAAAAGTGAGTCTGTGAAATGTCTATGGAAGAGGTTTAGGGGTAAGATCCAATGTACAGTTCTCTGCTTGGCAGTGGTATAGTTGTTCTTTGTGGCTCTGTAGCCTCAAGAAAGAGAGTGGTGAAACAGCATACCCCACATGGGTAGGAGCTGTTCCCCAGAATGAGATGAATAGACATCCAATTTGCAGTTCAATAAACATCTAACATATACAGTCAGCTGGGCATATATTTCAAATCCCAACTTATGAACTTATACAGACTTACTTCAACTTTGCCAGCCAGAAGTGAGGAGAGCGGTGACCTAGATACCCAAGAACACTGACTCTTTTTTAATAAGCTGTGTGGTAACTCAAATGATAACTAGTTATTTTCAAATTAAATTGAAAAAGGAAGTGCAAGTTAGAATAAGAAAGACTTACAAAGACCAAAAATAAGTTTTTAAAATTCATCAGTTCCATGATCTACTGATTAAAAAAAAAACAAAAACAAAAGAACAACAACAACAACAACAAAAAACAACTTTAAATGTAGCAGCCTGACTTCAAGCTGTGTCCTCTGTAAAAATGGTGGTCAGTTACAGAGGGTCTTTCATGTCATTTTGAACTGGCTGTTGTTAGACACTTCTAAACACCATTTTTCCTAATCCTGTTATGTGAATAGAGCTCAGAAGCATCATGTCACAATACCCAAGGGATATTCATGATGCCAAAAGAAACATATTTTCTGATTGTAATTATAGAACAAATGATAAGATGGAAATTGGGGCTTTTTGTCAGAGCTTATAATCATGGGTAAGTGGTTCCTGAGGGATAGGCAAGCACACTTCTCCGAGTGAGCTGTCTCACTCAGTGCTATCATTTGGCTGTCAAGCATCATAAAACATAGAACTCTGCTTACACTTCAAAAAATCCCAACCGCAGAAGTGAATGTCATTGATCCGAAAACCATGTCGCATCAGACGCCAAATCTTGAAACCTGATAAAAAAAAAAAAAAAAAAAAAAAAAAAAAAAAAAAAAAAAAAACAGTAAGGCAAAAACAATTCTTTATTTTTTAAAAAAGAGGCATTATTTGATTATGAACATGCTTTGATTGATTTATACTGGCAATAAACAAACAAACGAACAAAGCTATGGTGGGGGTTAGGTCAATGCATTGTTGGTGTTATTAAAGAACAGGTATGGACTGGAGAGAGGAGGAAGGGATGGATCAGAGTGTAGAGGGCGGATACAGAAGGGCAGAGGTGGAGGGAGGGCACAGCTGTAGGTAGGAAAAACTGAATAGTTTAATCTGATGAGAATCCTGAAGACTTGATTAGAGCATTGGCAATGGCATTTAAGTATAATAGGGCAACAGAGATGGGTCCATGCCTTAAAAAGATGATTTCTCGTTTTTACCAAGAATTACTTGTTCTTGCACTGTACTTGAAAGCTGGGTTTGTGAACATTGATAGAAGTTAAAAAAAAATGTATTGTAGTTCAGTCTCATTTCTAAAACTGGATTCTTTGGGGAGAAGGGGTGGAGAGAAATTGACTGCTTTCTCTCTCATCTTCCTTGTGAGATGTAGGCATACCATTTCTTTATGAAGCATGCTGCTTATAACTTTCAGAAATTCCAATGTCAAAGAGAATGTAGAAAAGTCTCAGCGGTTAAGAGTGCATTCTTCTCTTGCTAAGGACTCAAGTTTGGTTTTCAGCACCCACATCGGCAGATACAGCACCCTCTTTTGGCTCCCATGGTCACTGTGCTCATATACACATACCCACACTCAGACTATATATACATAGTTAAAATAAATATTTTCTTCAAAGCGAATGATTTGTCAATAAATTCCCTAAGTTTAACATTTATAAGAAGGTTTTATAATTAGAGATGTTTCTGAGATGTAATTAATCATAGAAACATGTAGGTATAAATTGTTTTTATAATTCATTAAGCTTTTATTGGGTTACAATTAGACCACATTAAAAAAAAAAACTAATGAAGATAATTACATAATCTTAAAGTTGTATAAAACCTCTCATGGGAAAATATGCCCTTGTTTTGAATAATGATACAATTTAACTCATTTTAAAAACTCTAAAAAATACCACTATTCAAAAACTGAATGAAGTTTATAATTGGCCATTGTTTGTTTGTTTTTTTTATGTCAAATCTGTACTCACATAAGAAAATTGGCAGCAGTAATTTGTTGGTGCTTTCAGGATTCTGGTAGAAAGGCAGGTTGCAGAAAACACTCTTGGTTCATGGCTCTGTGCTTGTTAGGCTGTGCTGGCTTCACCATTTCTACCCCAGATACGCTTGATGGTTGGAGTTCTGAGTCCTGCTCACAGGTTTCTTTCCATGTCAGAAGAGATTTTAAAAACCTTCAGATTCTTTTCACTCAACTCAGCAGTCATTTTAGTATGTTTACTGCACCATGAAGATCATTGATTTCTTCTGAGCCTGGAGATCCAAGAAACACATTTGGATTTATGCAGTGACATTTAGATCAGATTATTAAAAAAAAAAAATGCAAGTGCCATGTGGTACGGGAATGACTATTCAGTTTCCCCAGGGAATGGTCAGGCAAGCTGAAATGTTCATCTTAAAGATATGTTAGGTAAAGCCTCCTGCAAAACCAACAAGATTTATTCAAACTTTCTTGGACAGGTGGACTTTATTTTTTTTATAAAGATACTATTTTAGTTTCATTCTGTGTCTGTGTCTATATGTGTAGGTTTGTACATGCTAGTGCACGTGTACACAAAGACCAGAAGGTGGGGGGAGGGTCAAATCCCCTGGAGATGTAGCTTCAGGCAGCTGTTTGTCTGCTGACATGGGTGCTGGGACTCCAGTCTTCTGCTAAAACAACAAGTGCTGTTAACCACTGAGCCATCTCTCCAACCAGAATTAGATTTCTTAAAGACACTGATTTTGTAAATCTATGTCTAATGATATTTAAAGTGAGGCAGGCTCTTCCGAAGGGAAGGAGAACTAAGGCTCTTGAGAATGCTACCTACGAGTAACTTTTGTAAGATTTGATGTGTTTGTTGATTTTAAATCTGAGAGCAGTAAGTTTGCATGTGCCTTGAGAGTTAATGTACCTTTGTTCACATAGTTTTTGGCAGCTGCTTTGCCATTTGCTTTTACATCCATGCCTGTTTTTATTTCACACACACACACACACACACACACACACACACACACACAGACACACACACATAGACACAAGCAAATGCATCTGCTTGTTCTAGCCTTGGCTGCTCCTGTGATTCATGATGCCATTTTCTGGCAATCCTTCCTTATCTTTATCTTACATATGAAAGTTATTGAAATCCTATTTGAAGCTGGCCCCTTTTTCTATGGAAGACATTATAAACTACTTGCATTTATTCTCGTTTGAGTTCTTAGACTTTTAATTTGGGGTATGTTATGAGAGCTATGAGAAATTTTCTAAAGCACTCCTTGTCATTGTTCTTGCACCAACTGCCATATCTTCCTTGAAACACTCCTTTCTCTGTAATAGAAAGGCACTCCATCAAATCCTAATTTCCTGGAACTCAATTTTTCTTGTAGGCTGTTTGTTAAATGATTTCTTCTTCCCACAAGCAGAAGCTATTCCCTTTGTTGGCATAGACAATCAAGGCTTATTGTTTCATAGGTAAGACTGCCCCAAAGTCTTGAGTCACCTGAGGGTTTTTATGACCAGAAAAAGAGCTGGAGAGGTTTGTTCTCAATTCTCTCCTTTGCCTTAACTTTTCTAGTCTTCCACACTGGGTTGGCATCAGATAGTGGTTGGAGTCAGATAATGGAAAAATGTTCTGCTCATTGACATTGTTACAGCAGTTATTTGAGCACCTAGAGGATACTGAGGTTTTTCTAAGGCCTGGGTTGCTTGAGAAACTGCAGTCTACCCTATTCATTTTGTCTCACGACTAGACTGAATTCTGAAAAGAAGAATGCTGAGTCTCTTGAAGTTTCTGTCCACGCTCAGTTCTAATGCTACGCCATCCACCAGTGGTCCTGAAACAAGTAGTTGTTGTCTAATTGAATAGGAGGGCTGTGTCTGGAGGATGCCAGTGAGGAAGCAATTCTGAGATTCTCTGTCTACAGGGTCGAGCATCTTTATGCTATCCCAGAAAAATTTCATATAGAGAGTTTGGATCTATGGATCCTGAGGAATGTTCGCTTTATTGTGGCTCCTGGACCACATGCATAGAGATCAACAGCAGAGCGCATCAGTTTTCATGTTTTCCTGGTTTACCAATGAGCTTATATTTGTTACATTTTTATTTTGATCTTGTGAGGAGAGGTTTCCTCTGACAGCTTATTCCTATATGACACTACAGGCTGAGGGGACAGACTTCTGTCTGACATACGCTCTTGACCGGAAGTAACCTAGCACTAACCAGCAGATGGAAAGCGAAATTCCACAATAGGCTTTTTGCTCTATGCTTGACACATTCAGGGGCATCTCTTTCCTTTTCCCTTTGGTTAATGCTTTCAAAAAAATGTCTTCAGGGATACACCCAAGGTTGTTTTTAACTAATCTACCAGGCTTCTCTCAATCCACTCAAGCTGACAGTCACAATTAATCACTAAAAAGGATTCAACATCAAGGAAAACAGAGAAACAAAACAACCAACAAGATATTCTACATAAATTAAGCTATTTAAGGAGACAGACAACATGGATAAAACTCAGGACGAGTAATTTAAGTAGATTCTAGTGAAACAAAGGAAAACAAAACAAGCAGCTAGAAGAACTAACTGAAAATGTAACTGGAAAGAATGGTCCATATTGGCACTTGAGTTCATTTCCTAGAAGAAGATGAAGTGAATGAAAGGAAATAAGTTGTGGCTAATGGATGATGTATTAAAATAGATTTGTAGATGATACAGAGGAGATACAAGCCAAACATGTGACATCTCAGAGTGATCAAAGGGTCAGAGTCCAAACAACAATCCTGTGAAATCTGAAAATTCTTAAGCTGAGTAAAAACTGTGTGTACTGAAAGGATTTGTTCTCCAGGTCTGAGAGGTTGCTCAGTGGTTAAGAGCAGTTGCTGCTCTCTCAGAAGACCTGACTTTAGTTCCCAGCATCCATACCAGGCAGCTCACAGCCTGTACCACTATATCCAGGGAATATGATGTCTCTCTTCTCCTTGGGCATTTGCAGTTATGTTCACATAGCCACACGCAGGCACACACCTACACTTAATAATAAAAAAAAAGTCTTCTTTTTTTCAAAAAGAGTTTACTGATTTACTATTTCCTCTGCAGAATGTTGAAAAAAAAAACAATTCATGGAAATCAAAAGATAGAATCACAAGAGTATCAGATACACTGAAAAGAATAGAGCCAGAAGGTGGAGCCGTCGTCTCCACACATTAGGGGGAAAGCAGCCACATAGAAAGAGTAATCTTTACAGTGAACCCAAAGAGCAGCCGATTCCATCCAGACCAACCCATATTCCGCATACCTTCAGTGTAGTGTCCAGTTCCTTCCTGTGTAGAAGCATCACTAATTTATAGTTCCATGTTTATTGTCTGTCCTCTAGAGTGAAAAAGGTGACTGAACAGCCGGGGACTTCTCTCAGCCTTCTTAGCTCTGAAAACAATAAACCGTAATACATTAACCACCCATTTTAAGTTTGGGAGGTGTAAGATTTTGTACAGCAGTTTCACAGATAAAAAATGTTTACACTTTGTAAACTTCAAGTTTTCAGACCGTACCTCATAGAGGCCATTTTTCACTAGGGAAAGAAATCTTGGCTGTATTTTTTTTTTTGGCTCAAAACTTAGGAATATTTAAAAAGCCTCCAGAACTTTTCTTCAACATGTGACATTGCAGAAAACATGAAGAGTATTGCTATTAGCATACAAGGCATTTTTTTAAAGTATCAAAGTTATAAAACATTCCTAAAATAAAAGTGGTGTCATTTTCTAAAAATATCTGTAGGTCTGAACTTAGGGTTGTTCCTCTAAACATGGGCAGCTCCTTCCTGGAATTCAGTGCACATCAAAATCTGCAGATGGTCCAGTGATTCTATAGAGTGTGAGGACATTGATATGTAGCCTGTGTATGGCTCACACGTATGTCTAACATAAAGGAAACGCTGTATAATTAGTCATTATATTCTGTTGTTTAGTGAACATTGTCAAGAAAAATATGTGTCATACTCAGCATAGAATTTTTTTCTAGTGAAAGAATGACTTTTATATAAAAAAACATATATGCATATAATTTGAAACATAATTATGTCATCCTTTAGAACCTAATGTGTAAAAGTTGGGATTCCTCACTAGTGAATACTTTAAATGACTTTCTTTTATAATATTTTTAAACTTCTTTTAATTTTTTTAATTTTTATTAATTATACTTTATTCACTTTGTATCCCAACTGTAGCCCCCTCCCCATATAATTACACATCATTCTTCCCTTCACTCCCTCCAGATTCTCCCGTATACCCATCCTAGCTCTTTTTCGAATTCATGGCCTTTCTTTTCCTAATTGCTGTAGTGTGCATACATGTATATAAATATAATCTACTTAGTCTATATGTTAGGTGCACAGAAGTTTTCAGGTTGACCATTTGGCATTGGATAACATTTTTAAAGGATATTTGGGATATTTATGTTTGCTCAAACGTCTGGGTGTGGAATCCACACACCGTACATTTGTCAGGGTGGCTGGCATGAGAGACAGAAGGAGTTTTGATTCGGTGGGGAGAGACAACCCGGCATCATGTGCTGAGGGCTGAAAGAGATTCCCTTCAGCGTTCAATTTCAACCATGGAGGAGTCAAGGCAAGATCACGAACCAGCTGGGCACATTGCGTCCACAGTCAAGAGCAGAGAATAGCTGCACACATGCTCAGTTGCCAGCCTGCCTGTGATCATCACAATCTCTCCACTCTTACACAGATCACTGCCCACACCTCGTAAATGGTGCTAGCCACGGTAGGCTGTGTCTCCCCACATCAATTATCTTACTTAAGAGAATCCTCCATGGTCAAGTGCCTAGGTTCACTTGATCTAGAAAATGCCTCCTTGAGACTCTCTTCACAGATGACTCTTAAGTTGTGTCGAGTTGACAAACCATCAGAAGGGTCAGCGATGTGTATATGTATCTACATATATAAGCTCATGACCTCCTGTGTGAGCCACGTAGCGATAAATACTCAGTGTTACCCATACTTCAGGAGGAGAGCCAGGGAATCAGGTCACAGCCTCCCGAGGCAGAATATTTGGGCCCAGATGCCTGCCATCTGAGACTGTCGCCGCAAGAGCAGTGCCAGTGGAGTAGCTGGATTCCATCCTTATTCAGAGAGTTAGATTTGTTGAGCCTTTCCACCGCTGCTGCTAAGGTCTCTCAGGTTAATGAACAGAGGATTTTTAAGTATGGCTAATTAAGAATGAGATGATGAACTCTTCTGGAAATGATTAAAGGCCATAACCAAAAAGCGATGCCATGTCCCTAATCTCCAGGATTCTTTTTATAGAGAATAAGTCTCATAATAGGAAACCCTTTCATCAATGTTATTTCTTATCATTAGATAGAAAATAGGAATGAAAATGGAGCCAAAAGAAAATGTTCTTCAGAAACTTAGCTATTACCAGAAATGACAGGCTTAGAATTGAGATGCTGAGAGTTACTCAAAGAAATAATGCTTGAGCTCAGATATCCCTCAAAGCAACAACAACAAAAGACATTGCCAGAGATATGAGTACAGTTAAGAAAAGGCTGAACCATAAAGTGATTTGTGAGCAAAAGGAGGTTTTGATTTGGGGGTCCAATAGGTCTGGGGTCCAGAATATACTGTCCCCAACATTGTAGCCACAGACAACGTGTTAATAGCAATTCTGAGCCCAACTGTTAAATCTGTGTGGCAGCAATAAGGTTTTCCTGTGGCTACCATGAAATTTAAATAGTAATACTAAAATCTCTTAACACACAGATGCACTCTATAAATATGCACGTCTTTTGCCTATTATATTCTCGAAAGAAAACTGCAAGTTTTTACATACACATTTGTAAGGAAGTTGATGGTGCAGTTTATGGCCCTGTTATATGGACGAACACATCATAGCATGGCGATCTTTGCAATTTAAAACGCTACATTGAAAACTGGGTGTGATGCATGTCTGTGATCCTAGTACTTGGGAAACTGGGCCTGGAGTAGCAGGAGTTTGAAGCCACCCGTGGCTGAATAGTGAGTTTGAAGCTGGCCTGCTCTATAGAAGACCTTGCCTCAAAAATTAAAGCAAACCAAATCACACCACACTGAAACAAACAAACAAACAAAACGTTTTATAATAACTTCCCTTCGTTTCCATTTAATTCTTATAAAACAACTGATATCTGTGTTATATTCTTAGGTATTAAGTTATGAATTAATATTTTGGCATTTGAACTAATCTCTTACTCACAACAGACCTATTAGCGTGGGAGGAGCAATTAATACTAACGGTGATCACACACCTATATCTCTATAAAATGCTGTCACTGTGACAGGAAGCAATGAGATAAGAAGCTCCCAGTGCTGGGCATGAGTAAGGAGACACTCTAATACAGTGGAGTTTGGCTTCTACAACATGCTGGTAGTAGTCTCTTGGAATGTTTGCATGGAATCATGAGGCATCAGAAAGCTTTTAGCTGGAGGACCTTCTTAGGTTGGGCAATTGACAGGGGAGCGTCAGAGGCCAATTTTCCCTCTAGCTTCTGTTATTTTCTTGGCTTGAGTGTGGAAAGCTGAGCAGAACTAAACTCTAAGCCTAGGACACATCTTGGTATTGACTGAACACAATAAATATACTTTGATCTATCCTAAAACGCTAATGGCTAAGATGTAGCTGTTGGAAGGATAGTTACCTCACATGCACAAAGTCCTAGGTTTGATCCTCATTAATGCAAAAAGTTAGGCTTGGTGGTACACTCCTATAACCCCAGCCCTTGAGAGGTAGAGGCAGGAGATTCAGAAGTCCAAGGTCATCCTTGATAACATACAGAGGTTGAGCACAGCCTGGACTACATGAGACTCTGTCTCAAAGAAAGAAGAAAAAACCCACGAAATCTTGTGACCCCTCATTAGTTCATAGCCTTATCCATTCTTACAGCTGTTTTAATCATCCGTAGAGAGGACAGTGTTCTTAATGAGCCATGCTTGCAGAATGTCTTCATTAACCCTGAAGTCTCAACACTACTCACAGGAAGATGTAACAAACCCACTTTACTCAATAAAGACAGAAGGAAGAGTTAGCAGTAGGGCATGTCTTCACAGAGGCAAGTTACTGCACGCCTGCACCTCTGTCCCTCATGTTTGCCACTCTTAACTGCGTTGTCCTGTGTCTTTGTAGAGCACAGTGACGTTGACCAGGAGACGGCTCTGGCTGCAGCCCATGGCTACACAGGCTGCCTGTCCGCAGTGCAGTTCAGCCATGTCGCACCTCTGAAGGCTGCTCTGCACCCTGGGCACCCAGCCCCTGTCACTGTGATTGGGCATGTGACTGAGTCCAGCTGTGTCGCCCCTGCTGGCACCGATGCTACATCACGGGAAAGGACACATTCCTTTGCAGGTAACTGAAGGCTCTCTCCCTCCTCGGTTGCAAACTGACTTGACCAGGGTGTTTGGAAATCTTCCTAACTTGGTTGTGGTTTTCAAGATGGCTTCTGGGGATGGCTTTCGTTGAGTCTTCAGATCTCTTCAAATCTCTCCGTGATTTCTTATTCATTTGCAGTTGAGCTTGTTAAAATTGGGAACTACAGGGATCCCATGTTCATCCCTGTGATTCTGTTCTGGTTTAAAACTGTTGAATTCTTCAGGATTTCTTCCCATTGCTTCATGTATCCCTCTGTCCTTTTACTTGCTCTAACTGTAGATCACTCTGGAACGATGGATGACAGAGAACCTCTCACTCATACTATCAAAAGTGACTCTGCAGTAATTGGAGGTACCTGGGAAGCATGAATGAACTTTTTCGTGGGGTCTTATTCTTCTTATGAGTAATGTTGACTATACACCTCAGAAAACAGTCTACACAGAATCTATGTTTCCCCCCCCCCCATGGGATTATAGCTCAGTGGTAGCACTCTTGACCAATAAGCATGAGGTCTTCTGTTCAATTCCGAGAATGTAGGGGAAGGGTTCACATATTTTAATTGCCGTACAATGAATCTTGCTGGGTTTTTTTTTTTTTACTTTTTATTCTTTGTTATTTCATACATGAATATAATGTATTTTAATCATATTTATTCTCTATTTCACTCTCTTCCACACCCCAGTTCATTCCCACTGAACCCCTCTACTTTGCGGCAAGTCCTAATCCTATTTTCATGCTGTTTGTTCTGTGTGAACCACTATCCTTGAGTTTAATTAGATTACTTGCCCAAGTATTGGTGAGAGGGCATGGCAACTTCAGCTACACCACTGAAGAAAGAAACTCCCCTGCTCTCAGCACTACCAAAAGCTCCCAGGAAGGGGCGGGTCCTCTTGGCTAGTCTCCCTCCCAGGATGGAATGTTGATAAATGTGCACATCTTTCCAGGCTGAAAGAGCTTCAAGAAAAAGCTGTTTTACACTCTTTACTGGGATGCTCTCATAGGCTCTTCCTGAATTCAAGGCTTCCTTGGAAATTTTCCATCTAAATATGGATAATCTCACTAAAGTACTATACTCTAAGATCAGTTGCTAAGCGCTGTGAACATGAACAGTATTTAGCTTAAAGATGGCCATCTGCAAGCCATAGGGACTACAGCATGTGTTTATTTTCTTAGGCATATCATTGTTTCTTCAGGGGCTCACATGAAGGAAGAAAAACCTTGAGATTAACACTAGAAGTGTGTTTTGTGTTTTATTAATGCTTATTAAAGTAGGTAGTTCGTCATTCGGATGTTCCTACAAAGGAATTTTATACTTTCAGTTCTTATTAAGTCCTAGGCTAATAGGTTGAAAGTGGTTCATAGTAATTTAAAGTTGTGGAATTCACACAAAATATTTTAAAAATATCTTTAATGTGACAGCATCTTTTTGGAGGTATATGTTATTGAAAACCAAACACAGAACTAAAGCTTTTTTTTCTTCCTGATTAACACTCATCAGAGGCTATTAATCAGAGCACCGAAATGTTAAGTGCTTTAACATTTCTGTGCACTCTGAATATCATATGGATGCATAAAATAAATAACTATTTAGCCTTCTATCCAGATAATGTGATTATTCACATACTTAAGAAGGTTTTATGTGGACATCACACTCAATCCATTTACTAATGTGTTTTAAACATTTTAATTTTATTTTTAAGTTTGTGTCTGTCTGTGTGTGTGTGTGTGTGTGTGTGTGTGTGTGTGTGTGTGTACCGTGAAGTTGCCAGTGTTGGTTGGTTTTGTTCTCAATTTCACACAAACCGAGCCATATTTAGGAAGAGGAAATCTTAAGTAAGAAAATGCCTTCATAAGATTCGTCTGTAGGTAAATCAGTCGTGCATTATCTTGGCTGATTGAGGCAGGTGGGTCCATTTCAGGGGACACACTGCCACCCATTGGCAGGTGGTCCTGAGTTACATAAAAGACAGGCTGAGCAAGCCAGGAGGAGCTGATAAACAGCGCTCCTCCATGGCCTCTGCACCACCAGCTCCTGCCTCCAAGTTCCTGCCTTGAATTCCTGCCCTGACTTCCCTCATTGATGTAATTTGAGCTTGTAAGATTGAAATAAACCATTTCTCTCCATTTTGCATTTGGTAATGGTGTTTTATCACAAGAGTAGAAATCTAACTAAGACAGAGGTCAGAAGAGGGCATTGGAACCCTGGAAGCTCAGTACAGGCAAATACAAGAGCTTAAAAGTGAACTTCAGTCCTCTGTAAGAATAGAACATGCTCTTAACTACTGGGACATCTTTCTAGCCCCCTGTCTTTTAAAGATTTTTTTTCTTTATTTTGTTTTTTGGTTTGTTTGTTTCTTTGTTTGAAGACAGCGTTTCACTGTGTAACAGTCCTGGCTGTCCTGGAACTCTCTTTTTAGACCAAGCTGGCTTCAGACTCACAGAGTTCCACCTGCCTCTGCCTTTGGAGTGCTGAGATTAAAGTCGCGTATCCACCATGCCTTTTAATTTTTCTGCATTTAATTTTGTCTGTAATCGTGTGTAGGCATGTGTTAGCGGGGGACAGACAAAGAGTGTCTGTGTGTGAATAGTTTGGTGTCTTGTGCTGTCTGTCATCTATATGTGAACTCTCTCCAGCAGCTAGACCCCTTTTTTAAATAGTAAATAATAATGACCACAGTTTCTCTTACTGATGTTTCTGCTATCCCCTTAAATTAAATATCTGTAAGTTAAAGATACATAAAATACAATTCTCATTTAATTTCCTGACAAACAAAACAAACTTTTTTTGAGTGATTAGTTTAATCTTGAATTTAGCTAGTTATCAGAATAATCTAAGAAAAACACGGTTGACAGTAAAACCCTCCTTAAAGTTCCAAGATGTGTAATGAGCTCAACATTTTAAAGTAGGATTCCTCGTCAGACACATTGTCACAGTCAGTGCTCTTCTTGTCTAGCTCACATACACAGGGCAGAGAGACACAGAGACACAGAGAGAGAAAGCACAAGGCAGGTTTGTTCCTCAAGGCTCACCAGGTCCCTGAAACCAGTGTGCCATCTGGCTTTGATCTCTGGGGACCAAGTTTTGGTATCAGAACAGCTGGGAATAGCCATGTAAGCTCCAAAGGTCTCATGCCAAACATATGCAATTTGTCTGCTCATTCACAGCATAGGGTCCTTCACTGTGGTGCTTTGCCTGGTAGTATGGAGGTAGAATTTTATCCTGTTGTGCCAGTCATAAATCAAACCCAGTGTGTAACCACAGTTGATGCATTCAGACATTTTCCAGAGTAGATAATCCTCTTGTGTTCTCAGCTGTAGGTAACCATCCTCTTTGTTTATAAACAAAGTGAGGAGTATGAAAGAAGAGGATACAGTTAGTGAAATATTTTAACACGATGATACAGACATGGAGTGTTTCTGGACAGACTGTGAGGATGCAAATTCAGAAAGGAAAAAAAAAACCTGTATATGCTTCTCCTGAGAATACACTCTCATGGTGCTTTGGGTACAACAACATAAAACATAGTTGTTTATTTTATTTATTATGAATATATTAAATTGCTTGTTTGAGAGACAGGTACCTAGTGATTTCAAAGTACTTTCCTTCACCACAAAAAAACATTAAACCTGCCCCAAATTGAAAGAGATGAATCACATACTTACAGAAAAAGTCAGAGACTATCTCTGATGCAGTACGTCTGGATGTCTCTTCTAGACCAATGTGAGGGTGCCATCCATTTTATAACTGCAGTAACACTTTCTTTAACATATTATATCATTTTCACATTGTAATTAGTCAGAATCCTTTTCTTTGAGCTAGAAATTTTATAATAAGATGATTGAACTAACTATAGCAACTCAATTAATTGTTTTACAGGGATGAGAGACAAAATATATAACAACACATGAATACCCTGATTAAAATTGGTTATTGATGTGATTAAGTAGCCATACACGGGTAAAAATTACCAAATGCATATTAGTTTCATTACTAACTTTCTCGGGTAAGTCTTACATCGGCAAAAAAATTGTCTTATCATCAGCAATATTATCATTTGGCTATTAAGACTCTGCTTAGTAAATCTTACACAGCCCATCAGGAAGACTTGTAGTCAGGGGTCGAAACTTAATAAAATAAATGGTTTTTACTGTTTCATTGAGGACACCCTTAAATGAGCTTGGCTTTTGCCCAACAGTGCAATGTGTTCCACTCCATAAATTCAATGGCTATTACTACATTTTGGTATGCTGGTTTTTATTTGTGTTAACCACTGGATTTTTCCTACCTTCATCATATACCATTGGTGAAAAATTTAACACCATGAAAAGGCACCTTAGAACTGTGATAGAATACTTAATTGTGCCCTATGGATCCCCATCCTAGTGTGTCCTGAAGACTATCTAGGGTTCACATTCCACATCAAGAATCTCTTGTCACTCTAGAATTGATACCCGTTGGTACAACTAAGACTTGTAATCCTTCAGACATTTACCTAGAACCCAAAGTTCCAAAACCCAATATGCCTCATACAGAAAGAATTTTTAACATGATTACATACTGATATCCACATTTTATTAGCACTATTTGTATACATAACACACTCCCCTTCAACAGTTGATTGAAAATCAACTCCATTGACATTGGTATATAGTTAATCACAAAACATAATCCTTTTATTGCATTATGCTTAGCTATAATTTCAAAAATAATTAAGATGTCTTTATGTTTTATTATGAAACAACACTTGGTCATAAAAATATGTAAGTAATGTTTCCTGATGAAAGGAATACATGAAGCAGATCCAACATAATGCACATTCAGGATAAATGGAAGGGACCCCACAAAGTTGATGAAATCCCTAAATAAACTTAATCTATTATAATACTGCTTAAATAAGAAAGGTGAGAAGTTTGTTTTTTGTTTGTCTGTTTCTAATTTATATCTTGTCAAGAGTAGACTTCGTTGGAAAATAATATTCCCTGGACTAATTAAGCAATAAAGTTGACACAGTGTCTATTCTGACCAAAGTTTTGACTGGGTATCTCTTTTTTCTTCTCTTCTCTAGGTCTGATAGCTGTTGTGATCTTTATCTTGCTTTGCGTCTCTGCCATAGCTGTTCGCATTTATCAACAGAAAAGGTTATACAAAAGAAATGAGGCAAAAAGGTCAGAGAATGTAGACAGTGCTGAGGCTGTTTTGAAAAGTGAGCTTCATATCCAGAATGCAGTTGGTGAAAATCCAAAGGAGTACTTCTTTTGATTGGCAGCAATTCTCTAACTTGCAAGAATGAGTTCATTTTAATAGCCAGGGGCTCTCAGTGGACAAGAACTGCTCTAACCCTGACCATACAGGCGATGGATCTGCAGCACAGCCATCTTGCCATGTCCAGGCTCAGGATGGCTCCAAGCAGCCTCCTCCAGTGATGTGCTCCTCCAAGCCATCATTCTATTTAAGAAAGGAGCTAGCTATTGGTGTCCCCTTCCAACTTCTGCACATGATCAAAGCCAAGTTTAACTTGCTTCACAACTATGGTTTTTAAATGTGGAAACTGTAGCCCTTATCTTCACTCTGTAAAACATAAGTTTTGTTAGAGGTAAGAACTCAAAATTGGACTATAATGGCCTTGCTTTACTTGAGACCATATGTCCTGTTTGCTTTCGTCTTTCACATGGTGTTGTTCATGAGCCTGGAAATGCTTCTGAGATACTGTTTGGCTGGTGTTCGCATCTTCAGTGGCCAAAAGTCTATACATTAAGCCCCTTTGCCTTTCTCTGTATTACATTCAATACATCTATAGTCTGAAAAAAATGTTTTCTTGTCTTTGGCTTGTTTGTATTGCTCTTTTTCTATTAGACTCTTTTCTGATACTTTTTAAAGCATTTTGTTTTGAGTGTCTGACTTTTAACTCTGAACATGCAATTCCTATATAAAAAGACTCAGAAAGCACAGTGGTTGTCAGTATGTGATGTCACGCCTCTACAGAGAGTTTCTTATCAGTGTTTGATGAAAACTGGCGAAGACCCTGAGCAACTGTAATTTTCCAAAGTGTGTACAATGTTTTCCATTAAACTAGTCACAAAACAATTCCTAACACAGCTATATATATATATTTAATTGCAACTCTATTACCTCAAATAGACTTAAGAGACTATCCCCCAAACCTAAGGGCAGTAGTTTCTTAGATTTATGTTTTTCTAAAGGTAATTGCCAAATTTTCTTTGATCTCCCATGAGGATGTTCCAAGGACTATCTTCTTGTATGTTTGAGAAGAAGGAGATAACATCAAGGGTAGAGCCCCACCCCTCATTCTAATACACAGTTATGCCACTGGCATGAATTTTGCTGTGCACTAACGCCCAATATATGTACCTTGTAATCTGAGTTGTAACACGCCCCCTGCTTTTCAACCAATAGATAAGGTAATAGATGTTTACGTTCTTTTCAGACTCAAGCTCAAGAGGTCATTCTAGTGATCTGTCATGTAGGATGATTATGACCGCAAAAATGAACCGGAATCAGTCTGACATACTCACTAGTTCATGGTGGTTAGAGCCTGTGTATACAATGGGAGGTAGAAGCATCATTCCTAACTTTATAAAACTGTAACAACAATGAACTGTAGGGCCAAGTAAACAAGATAATTGCATGGAATTATCTCTGAAATCCATAAGCCAATTAAATAATGAAAGCACTCTGCAGTCCATGTTCATACCTTCAGGTGCCTCCAAAGTAAAAAAAAAAAAATTCAATTCCTTAGATTTTTGTATAAAACTTGGAAGTATATGAATTCAACATCATTAGCATCTTATTTTCCTTGTGGACTCTTCTTGGAAAAAAATCTGCTTGTCATTTCCCAAAGCACAAGCTCCATGTTAATATTTTTGTAAATACTTGTCTAAATCTTAAGGAATGTGAATTGATGAAGGACCTATAATGGTAAACAGCATCTATATGTGTGTGCATATGTACACATGGAGAGAGAGAAAGAGATAGAGAGAGAAGACAGACAGACAGACATGCGTGGTGACAAGAGAAGCATTTAACACAGAATTTATATCATTTGAGTAAAGTGTACAACCATTATCTCGGCTCTGAATCTTTTAAAGGTATGCTTTTAATTTACTAGCAGTGTCCGCCTTACCAGTAGCTGAAATGTAGTCAGTTTTATGGATGGTGAAGTGGCAATGCCCTCTGGGGTCTGCACTGCAAGAGAATGCAATAAGATGGCATCAGATTGCATTGGTACCTTATATGCCATGGTTTGGATTTCCTGGTTTGTAATGAATTTCTTTCTCTTTCCTTAATAAAATGCATTTTTGAAATGAAATGCAGAATATACTTTGAGATCTTGTATAAAAGTTTTAAATTAGGGAATTATGTGGGATTTCTTTTTCTTAAGACAGCAAAAATGTGTGTGTATATATGTATATGCCTTATTTTCTGATGTATGTATGAATATGTGTGGTGAACAGATTTCTATGATTCTTGTGAACTATCAAGTAATTTTTTTTCTTTAAAACTTTTAACTACACTTACTCTTATGTGAATGTGTGAGTGTATGTATGTGATTATAGATGTATGTATCTGTGTGTGTGCATATTTTTTTGTGGGTGTAATATGTAGATTTTAAAGGAAAATCATGAGAGTTGGTTCTTTTCTTCTATCATTTAGGATCTGGAAATCAAACTTGGGTTTTTTAGGTTTAGAAACAGGAACTTGTACCTGCTAAGCCATTGTTCTGGCCTTATTTTTCTTCTGTGAAAAGGGACAAAAATTGTAAGTTAGGAAGATGATTATTAATTGTAACAATTCAATTTTTAGGATCTCTGCAGTCTTCCTTGAGTACAACAGCCTGGTTGGCTGTTGTCCATGGAAAAGGTTTCTGTACACTTCAGTTGGGTGATGTCTTTTTCATTATCTTTTCCTTTTCTCCAGAGATCTTGGTAAATGTACACTGTGTAAATGCAAAGACATTGCATAGAGAATATGGTATACCCCTCTCTGATTTCAAAACCCCTTCAAAAAACTGGCGTGGCAGCACACTATTAATCATAACCCTTGGATGCAGAGGCAGAAGGACTGATGCAATTTCAAGGTCACAGTAAACTATTGTGATGCTTTGTCTCAAAAACCAAACCAAAACAAGGCACCAAAAGCAAACTACATCCTCCCCCAAGCCCAAAATAACAACAAACAATCCCGCTAAATGTACTAAAAGTTCCAAGTTTCACCACTGTGTTTACAGACTAGAGTAATGGTGGCATTAAAGAGCTTCTTCAAGGTCATTAATGAGAAACAACATTTCAATATGTAGGGAATGCCATGAACATATCCCTTTTCCACTGTAGAACATAGCGTGGTTTTAAAACTCATTTCCAAGTGTTGCTTTCAAATCTGTGTTTATTATATCCTTAATATGTCAATTAAAAACACAGGACGAAACAAAAGACAACCAGGCAGTACCCACAGGGAAGGCAGTCATTTGAACGGATTGTTCATTGGGTGTTTTTTTCTTTTGGAATAACAGCATTTCTCATGGGATTAGAGGAGCACAAGCTCTGTTTAAATGGGGACAGCTCAGTTTCACAGATAAAAAGTCCAAGACACAATATGCGAAGAGATGTTCCCAGGAGGACAGTAGCAGTGTGTATGCCGTTAAGCTGTGACTAAATTCTCTGTTTTCTACAGAGTTGATCTTAGTGTTTCTGGGATCTGGTACTTCAGCAGCTAACCTGAAGCTGACTTGAAACTGTCTACTGTCTTGTCTAGAATGACTATAGGTCTAGATCTTATCCACCATCTATTTTCAATGAACATCAGCTGCTATTGACAAACAATTATCCTTGATAAATTTGTGTTTCTAGTGAAACTGTTAACTGTCCCTGATTCTAAGATAGTCAATTAAAATTGGAACTCTTATTTTTGTATGCACGTGTTCGTGTATGTAAATGTTCACGTGTGTGAATGTATGTGAAGGTCAGAGAACTACCTCAGTTGGCGTCAAGAAGGTTGTCCACATCCTTTGAGACAGGGTCTCTCATGGGCGTTGGAGTTGAACAGGAAGGGTAGAGGATGCCAGGGCAATGCAGGCATCCTCTCATTTCTGTCTCCCAGGGCTGAAATTACAAGTGTTCACCTCCGCATCCAGCACTTCTGGAAAGTGAATTCAAGTCCTTATGCTTGTAGGCAGTCCTTGAGCACTCTATATAGACTTTGTGAAATCTGTGGTATGAGTTATATCTGACCTATTGAATCATCAGATGTCTACTTCTTGTTAGAAAGATGAATTAGAGGCACTCTAAACTAAAACCTGCTCAGTTAAAGATTGACCTTGAAATCCATGTGTCAATGCCTTGATGGCTCCGTCAGATGACTTTGATGTGTCCTGCCTGTTCTCTACTTTTTTTAAAAGTCTGGATGACAGTGTGGAAGCAGGGAAGTAGAACATCTAGAAGCCAAGTGTTTCCTTAGTGTCATGTGTGTGCCTGAGGAACATTCCTCCCTCCACGAAGGAACAAGAAATGAGGATAAAAATAACATGACAAAGTGTGGAGAAACATGGTAAGAAGGTTGAATATGTGGTCCATCAGAGGGGTCCCTGGAGCTCAGTTTTGCAGATTTTCAAGTGGAAATAAATATGAACTCTGATTTCAATGTTTTCCCCAGTGCAATATTTAAAAAATATATATCTTTTAACACCATACTTAAGTCATTATAGTTATAGTTTTAAAGAAATAGTTTAAATTTTACAAAGGAAATAGTGTTCTCTTGCCCATCTCTTCTCCTCCTCTGTTTCAGCTCCTTCAATGGTCTCATTTTAGACCTCTCTATGCCTGTAAATAATGTGCTATCACAGAATGGGTTCCTTGTAAAGTACATTTTGAGACAGAAATCTCCACTTACAAAGTTTATTAGGTACTATGTAATACACACAGGAGACGGGCTGATGTGGGGTGAAGTTGGGCTGCGAGGTCACAATGATAAGGGATTAGGGGACCCTGCAAACATTACCCTTTGGAGGGGTTCTGTGTTGGGTTAATGGGCAGAACATTCACATTACAGGATACAGGAGGCAATTGGTGTTGGCTGTGTTTTGGTGATCATGAGCTTGGACCAGTACCTCTTTGTAGCTTAGACTGTTCTTGAGAGAAGACAAACTTGCTCATCGACATTTGGCTTTCACTTCCATGTATCAGCTAAATGATGACTATGAAAGATGTCTTCAGTATGTGCTATCAGTTCTCCAGATCACAGAGTGATGGCAAATAGAAAAGATTCAGAAGCTGAAAGTTTTAGTGGGGGTGTGTGTGTGCACAAGCCTTGAAGTGGAGGAACCAGGACTGTTTTCCCTCCAGCACTGCTCAAATCTATCTACTTCATACATATTTCTGGAAGCAGCTTCTTCGACACTGAGGAGAATCTCCTTTCCTAAGAACAATGTGCAAGATGGAAGCGGATTTACTAAGGCCTCACCTCCGCAGATGACTGTAACTGGTGCTCATCTTTTTCCTGTCCCACCATCCTTGCCACCATACCAACGTCAGCTGACAATACTGCACAGAGTTCGACTTCAGTTATGTTATGCTCCTGGTCTTCTTCAATAAGATATTCTTGTGGGATCAATTTGAAAAAAAGAGATTTTTTTAGATCAATGATTGTATTTGTATATTTTCCAGGCTATACTAATTAATACACTCTAGCAAAAGCCCTCCATGTGGCTTGCACATGCTTGCCTTACTGAGAGATTGCTCTCATTTCCAGCATGTTCTGGAACAAAATCTGTGGGTTGACTGGAACTGCCAAGAGACCCCTGCCTGCTTAAGCCCTTAAGGCTAGCACTTGACGATGACCCTTTTCCTAAAAATAATTGTTCTACGTTGGCCAGTGGGACAATGGGGGGATGTTCATTCAGAAAGTTCTACTTGGACTGTTTCTATATAGGACATTAATCACTTTGGTGTTTAAAGGATGGAAGTGGGAAAGATACCAACTTTAGCTATGTCAATTCCACAAACAAATGAAAACACCCTGACTTAACATGAGACAAAGAACCTCCAAAGATGACATTCAGTTCATTTTGTTGACTGTCTACCACTGGGGGTGGGGCCTACCCTTCAGAGTGCTTTATTTCCCCCAGTGAGACTCCCTAAGAGAGAACTAGTTTTTCATTTGCAAGTGGCTGTCCATTGGAGACAGCTTTTGGGTTAGGGATGGAGGAGTATGTCCCCTTTTCCTTTCAGCCCTGGGAACCCATCTGGTGCAGACCTGTGCAGGCACTGTGCATTCAGTGTCTCTCACTAGCCTGGAACTCACAAAGGAGGAAAGGCCGCTGAGCATCAGGTTCCAGGGATTTGCCCTTCTCCACCATTGTAACATTGAGGTTCCAAGCTCGTACTACCGTGCGCAGCTTTATGTGGTATGGACCAAAATCCCAGGTCCTTATGCCCTCAAGGCAGATACTTAAGGAGCTGAGCTGGCTCCCCATACCTAATTTTTGCTATCAGGAGAGGGTAAATCTGTTATCAACACCAACTCTGCAGCAGTATGCAATGCCTTTATTCTCTTTGACCACACTATTACCGGCTGTCTAGGGTCATGGGAGTTAACATCTTTTGGAAAGGACTCAGAATTCACTAACATATACACTTTGCATCACAGTAGGGTCCTTCCTCCTGAAGACATGGTTTCTCCTTCAGTCAGTAGATTCTAGGTTGGGAAATCAACAGGATTTCCATTTTGGCCATGCACACCTATAACGCCAGCAGCTGGAGGCTGAAACAGGATGATCACGAGTTCAAAGCCAACCTGGCTTAAACGCTGGCTTCTGAGGTAGCCTAGGCCTTCCAATTAGAACTTATCTAAAAATACGTACATAAAACAATCAAGGGATATAAAGGAAGAATGAAGACTCATGCTCTGAGTCTTCTGAAGACTGAAGAGGTGATGGGATTTTTAGTTGAAACAATAAGTTATGTGACGGTTTTGGAGGCTGATAAATTGCTCAGATTGTAATGCTCTCGCTGACCAAGTGTGAGATCCTGAGGTAGTGCATCTGAACCCAGATAAAATAACATTTAAAATACGTTCCAGTAACCTCAGTGCTCCTAAAGAACCCCTCTGGCTAGGTATCCTGATGTACACAATGATAATATATATATATATATATATATATATATATAACATTTTTATATTTATATGTTTATATCTTATACATAATATATATATATGTGTGTTACATATATATACATACATAGAGAGAGAGAGAGAGGTTAGAGAACAAAGGCCAACATCACATCCCAGGTTTGCTTTAAGCTCCATG